CGGAACACCTGAACGGCTACTGCACGTTAGACACAACATGACATTTTGTCTCACCTCGTTACCATTTTGTATAATTGTGTCAAAAAACTGACCGAAAACAAAATTTTTGCCAAAATACCCATATGTAGGTGTTTAAATGTTCCTTTCTAAAAAAGAATCCCAAAAGAATTATGGTGCGAAAATTTTTAGTACACCACTGTACGTTAGTAAAATGCATGTACACAAGTTTATTTTCCTTTGTCACTCGTTCTATGTCCTTAAGTACGCATGAGTGTGTCTCGATATACACTTACATATTCTTTTTTCCAGAACAGTTGGAAAAGATAAAAAACCGACGAAGTTTAAGATGAATCAACATTTTCATTGTACTTGTTTTTCACTGCTATTGTGTGCCACATGGCTCCTTATAACAAAGAAAAAAGACCAGATGCTACTGAACATAGTAAGTTACCAGAAGTGTTTATGAACGACAAACTAACTGGGTTTAAACTTCTTACTGGCCACGTTTTAGGGTCATCACTACCTCACTAGTGAGGTAGTGGGCTGTAGGGTAAATAAATCCCCAAAATAAATAGTTATATGAGTCTTCAACATTTGATACGAACCTGTTTAGTTTTAATGGAACCAATTAGCTGAAATAGCTCGGTTACGCATCCGTACCATATTACGAGTGGGTATGCCGTGCTTCGCACCTCCAGCAGCCGTTAGACACCTTAGATCAAACGCTTCTTGAGACATCGATAACCTTCCAAGTATAACTCCGAAATTCTTTACTTCTGATTTCACTGAGTTGACACATTTCGGTCATAAATATGTTACGTGTTAGGGCATTGTTAAACTCTGAATACTTGTGGGACTGTGTAATATATGTGCAATCTGATATTCTGTCAACCATAATCTTCCTAGAGGGTTGTAAACTGTTAGACGAGGATATATTCGTCAACAATTTATAAAACGCTACATCTATAGACCAATAAATACCGCTTATGTAATGGATATACGCTTAAATCAACCATCCACACACTTGTCATCATTACCTAGAGCTAATTTAATAGGTGGCAATTTTAAAATGCCATCTGTTCATCAGAATCCATCACGTGATCCCTTTCGCTTTGAAAAATTCATTGAAGCACTAGAAACAAACAGTAAGACATAGATAGTCAACAAGTCCACCAGAAAAACTAGCTTGTTAGACTCAATTTTCGTACGCAATGTCTCAACATATACTGAATATACTGGTCTTGAATTTCCGGGCAGTGTTCACAAAGCAGTACCCTGTCAACTGATTAAGCGAAAGTGCTCTTGTACCTGTAATGGAAAGAAAATTTTCCTGGATTCTATCAGAAACTTCGCAAGCACCGGTTGCTCCTACTCAGATGTTCTATTACCTGGTCTTAGTTGGAAAGAGTATTTTTCTTCTTCTGGACCCGATCGCTTCAATTATAACAAAAAAACCCTAGACCCCTCGTTGTGTTTATACTCCCATCAAATTCAGTTATAAACTGAGAAATTTGCGAAGACGTCCTTTGTTCAACATGACTTTTCAGCTGCTCTCAACACCTGATCAGTATTTAGCAATATAAAAGGATTTCTACGAACAACGGAATTAGAAATTGAGTGACGGTTTTCTCGTTTACGGAATGAGAATGGTTTTTAACAGCTACCCTAAAGAGGAAGCTTTGTATCCAGTCCAATATTTCTACTGTCCTAAAGCCCAATGATGAACTTATAAGAGACCCAGCTTAGCTACTTGAGCTGCTTAGAAAATCATTTGCACAGACATCCAGTAGATGTCATCAGGATAAACGTCTAGCCTGCATGTTCAATTCATATGCATTAGCAGACCTGGTATTCACGCCGAGTATTGTCAGAGATGCAATAAGGTCATTGAAACCTTCTCTCGGAAGTGGTTATGATGGAATACCTGCTAATTTAATTAAATATAGACTCACTGACATTCCTATCCTACTTACTAAAATATTTAATCTATCCTTCGATTAAGGCATTTTTCCTTCTCAGTGGAAAACTACATACATTTTCCCTGACTTTAAAAGGGGATTTAGACTGTACGTTGAGGAATACCATCCGAGCAACCACATTTCCGTCGTCTTGAGCTATGGATAAGATTATTAAGAAGGCAATTGGCAGTCATCTAGATAGGCACCAATTGATTATATCTTAACAACAATAATTTATTTTCAAAAAGCCGTGCATAACATGTCATCCAGAATAATTTAATTACGTTATAAACAACACGGATGAAGAGAAGCTACTTGTCACTCTCTACCTTAACTTTAACAAAGCGTTTGATAACGTACGAAATTATTCTTTCTTATTTAAATTAAAGACATTCGGTGTAGCAGGTAAAATGAATAAATTGATCTCATCCCCTTCAGAAGATTGGGCACAAATAGTTAGAATAGAGAAACGCTCCTGTGACCCTCAGAACATTAATAGTGGTATCCTGCAGGGCTCAGTCGTTGGACCCTTATTGTTCATCATGCGTGTTAACGACATATACAACTGCTTTAGACTCGACAAACCCTTTCTATCTGCCAAAAACCTTGAAGTAGTATGTGCATTCGACCCACGTCCCGGTTTAAATGTCAGCTGTATAATACAAAAAGGCCTGGACAGACTCCAAGACTGGTGTGAAGCATGGTTTTTCTCTCTTACTACTGAAAAATCTTTGTACATGTATTTCGGCACATTTACTCGGTAGAAAACTTGGAGCTGAACAAGATGTAATTTAGACAGCTAAGTAGCATCCGCGATTTAACAGTAAAATATTTCAAAAGTCTTTCATTCACCAGATAGGCCACACCCCAAGTCTCTAGATCCCGTAGACCTATTGAGTTTATCAATCGTAATTTTCATTTCCAAAAAAACTTTATGAGAAATGTGTTCGGCCCCTTCTAGAATTCATTTGCTCCATAGGCTGATGGAAAATTGAGAAAGTGCAACGCCATTTTATAAGACTTCATACACCTGACCTATCATATAGAGAATGATGTGCAGCATGTAAACTGAATTCTTATGGTTAAGACAAATTAAACTTAACCTAACTTTACAAAATTATATATAATAAAACCACAGTAAATTGTGATACTTCAAAACTTGCCAAAACAGTCATTATGACCTTAGGAAACAGGATTTGTACTAAAGATATATTGTTGTAGGCTGAAGTTTGATCAGTTTTAGCTGACATTCTAAAGTGTCGCACCTATGGCTACTCAATGGTATAATTAGTCATTCATTCATTTTTATGATCGTAGGAGTAACAATCTCTTACTGTCGAGATTTTGGGATGGTAAAGCATTCTACGGCATATCAGAATGAACGATGTCACCAAATATTTTCTATAATTTCCTTAAGATAAAAATCCTGTTCGAGTATATTCAAAGATGTGGAATATGAGTCTGTACAAAGGTATTAGTCTGTTATCAATGTTGTTTGTTATCACACCTAATAAATAAACTCTGGAAGATGTGGAATCTTTCATGTTTCTGGACAGCACCATCAATGAAGAAAGAGGATCTTGTGCAGACTCAAAGGTGAGGATTGGCAAAGCAATGGCATCATTATTGCAGTTGGAAAACATATGGAACTTAAAACAACTGTCAACTAATATCAGAGTCAGAATCTTCAATATGAACAACAAAACAGTTAGTCTTATTGTACGAAGCTGAAACGTGGATAAATGCCACAGCCATCATCAATGAAGTAAAAGTATTTATAAGCAATCCTTTACACCAGATACTCAGTGACCGTTGGTCAGATACCACCGGCAACATCCAACTGGAAAGGAAATTAGGAAAAGACGATGGAAATGAGTAGGACATATATTATGGAAATCACCAAATTGCATCACGAGGCAAGCGCTTACCTGAACTCCTGAAGGGAAACGGACATGAGTAAGGCCAAAGAAAACACTGCGCCGAAAACTGGAGGCTGACTTCAAAAGCATGAATAGTAGCTAGAACCAACTGGAAAGGAAGGAGAGTCCAGGACAGAGTTCGATGGCGAAAGTTGGTGGGCAGCCTATGCTCCGCCTCGAAGGTTAACAGAAGCAAGCATTTAATTACCTTTTGGTACACTCCAGTTTAAGTCGTCCGGTCATTCATCCATATTAGATCATGAATGAGTATATTGTGCTACATATACCTCAAAACTACTGGGCACCCTAAATCAAACACTTCACAACTTATCAACAACTCTTCAAATACACTTCCTAATTCATGAGGTACTGAAATTTGGTTCGAATGGCTTGGTATCTTTCGATTAAAAAGGTATTAGGGATAAAAGCGTTATTTGGTTTCGACTATCTGTGGGATCTTTATATGCCACCATATGTAGGGGAACGCTTTACATCATTCCATGCTATGATCTAGTGTTAATGGTTAGCCGAATAACTTTAGTTAGGTTTGCTCATTGAAATGAATACAACAAGCATCGTTTCCGGGCATCTGAGAATCACTAATTTTAGGGATAAATTTACTACAAAACTGCAACTTATCCTATTGGCATTATGTCCCATTCTCATTCAAGGCCTCATAACATGAGTTTATATTGTTTATGGACTGTTTTGAAAGACGCCCCTAAGCAGTGAACTTTGTTCATAGAAAGGGGTTACTCTGTACGGCGGTATAGAGATATATACAGAAAACGAGAACAGCGTGTGTTCATAGACTCAAGTAAATATCCACCTAAAAAAGATTGATAATCTATTTTATATAACTGAAATGATGATTTAAACGATAAAATGGAGTGCTATATAGAGGCTTTTCAACTGTTATCGACAATAATCGACCATTTCATTTACAATTTTTCTCCAAAAATCGGCAACGCTTTTTCATTTAACACCACTAACTAAAAATAAAAAGCAACGTGCCAATAAAATAAAATTCCTGTTGCTTACAAATTCTGAGGAAATTTTCTACTTGACAAGCTGATTGACCAACTTATGACAATGATGGTAATGCATACTTTCGTTTGGTTCATTTCATTAACAGGACCGCGCTTTTTAGTTGTAAACGTGCTAATATGAGGTTGTTCGTTAGATCCCACCTTGGTGGTCAGGCTGTAATATCTGTGGGGCCAAATGAATCCGTAAAGTCACTAAAAGATAAAATTTCGGTTGTAACCGGCATTCGGGCTACTACTCAAACACTTTATCATCAAGGCTCTCCATTACTCGATAGTGGATTTCTAGAAGATTTTGGTATAGCTGACCTAGATAATGTCGACGTAAATTGTGAACTTCGAGGTGGAGGGAAGAAAAGAAAAAAGAAGAATTATACCACTCCAAAAAAGATCAAACACAAAAAGAAAAAAGTAAAACTCGCAACCCTAAAATTTTACAAAGTAACAAACTTTGCTGCGTAATCTTGATATTTGCAGGTTGACTCAAATGGGAAGGTAACTCGGTTACGAAGAGAATGTCCCAATGAGAAGTGCGGTGCTGGAGTCTTTATGGCCAGCCACTTTGACCGTGAATATTGTGGAAAATGTACCCTAACATATAAACATGTGAACTAGTAAAAATAGAGTGAGAGAATTCGGTGTTAGCATTTTGTAGTTCTTGTTGGTGGTGCGCACCAATGCCACAACACACCGTGAATCTCAATATCTGTAAGTGGGGTACTAGTAGTGTAGTTGTAACTTTCAGTCATTCTACAATTGTTCTAAATTCCACTCGTTTTAGTTTTAAGAAATTCGTCATTGTGTTAAAATATGAAGATCCAAATCACATTGACATCAGGATTCCCAGTTCTGCTCGGGATTATGTATGTAGTATAGGTGTCGCGTGAATAATCAAAAAATCTTGTTGATCGGCCAGCTTCATGTCATACCATTTTGTAACATGTTTATATGGGAGTTTAGATTAATAAGGTTTTTCATTAAGTGAATTAGGAGTAAAGAATCTATTTTACCTACTACATGCGAACCGATTTCGGTTTTCTTCCCATTGAGGTCCGTATATCATTAGTATGTAAGGAACTCAGTTGTTACTATGCTTCAAACTCCTCTACTAATAGATTTATGTCTTAAACATTAATATTCTTCACTCAGCCGGATGCACCATCTTGTTGTCTACAATCGCGTTGTTAGCAAAGCATCATAGATAAACATTGGTAAGCGATCCTGTTCTAATATAAACATTCCATCAAATTTGCCGTACGGCCCTGTTAGAGCCAGAAATAATATATCTGTGTATACAAATTGCAGAAAAATTCAGTTTTGCTGGAAGGGTTAGCTGGGGTACATCTATACTGCAAGGAGTCGAGTTGCTGTATTGTGCACTTCAGAAACTATGCGAAGCTCTGAACAAATGGGTTCCAGACAGATTAGTGATTTAAGCTAATATTTCAATTATTTTGGAAAGGCTCTTAATTCTTAGCTAGCTTGACATGACTGGTTACCTTGAAGTTCTTCGTTCACCTCTAAAATTTAGGACAAGCATTTGTCGACTTGACATAATCCCTTCAAACTGCCTGCGTTCTTAGTTCGTTCCGGGTTACGACTAAGCAGATATTCTGTGATGATCGTAAGTTGATGTGCTTGCCGAATATTGTATCAATGATATTAGATCTCATAGTCGTCTACTGCTCAATCGGAACAGAGCGCTGGGCAATGGAAGTTGAAACCAAACATCTACACTTAACGTTTTGGGACCGTTAACTGCAGTTCAATGTCTGGCTCAGCAAATTACATTCAACTACGTTGGTTGACAGGTTAGACGCCCATCAATTGTGCGAAGGATCCGGTCAGAGCCTTTTAGAAACTCAACTACATCGCCTGCGTATAATCCAGCACTGATTACATTTTTGTCGGGGGCACCCACTATTGCCGTGAACTAATCCTTAGAAACTGATTTAGATGAAGTGACGGTGGGGATGACATGATTCTGGTGAAAATGTCGACAGAATTTTAACCCGTCCCCCGACTAATCGTGCACGAACTTGTTAACTATGTCCTGAATATGATGTGATATACTTAAAGTACGGAAAAACTGCTCCAGAATAAGTTCACAAACAACCGTTCCAGTAGTCACCAGAAGTAGTACTGTAAATACAAAGATAAGTTGCTAAGTAAATATTTCTTTCCAGTTAGGAAGACGAACAGAGTTTAGGGCATTTCAAGAAATTAACAAAGGTTGGTAAGCACTTAAGTCAAACAAAACAAAGTAACTAACTCAATCATGTGAATAGTTTTTAATTGTCAGGATATGAAGGACTAAATGAATACAAATATGGGTCGCAAGTAAGAGTTCACGACAGGTCAGGGTGGTGATTGATGGATATAGACTACTTGTGGTAAGAATTGATATCAAGAGACAGCTGACAGGAAATAAGCTAATTAGTATGTGAACAAAGGACTCAGTAGTCAGGTGTTTCCCGAATATTGCTTAAGAAGCCGTTTACTTCAATGCTAAGCTTGGCCATAGTGAAGTAGTCAATAGGAGTAGAAGATACACTTGTCCAGGCACTATAAACCCTGGTTAAGACGGTGGCTCGAAAAATATCAACAGGTGCTCTAAGTGGTCGTTCTCATTTGTTATCTTGCGTGACCTGCAGAATACTAAGTAAGAAAGATTGGCTCAGCGAAGAGCTTTTTTGGCGGATTCATTTTCGAAGCTGTACAGTCACAAATATATATACTTATTCTTTCAGGATAATAATAATTGCGGAATAGATGTCTGTTCGTCTATAAATGGGCGAGTATACTGTGCAGCACTATATTACTATGAAACGTGGGCCACTAAATAGGCTATACCCATTCGGTTGTCTCTTCGAAGTATTACTTGCATATAGTGGAACTACTAAAAACGTAAAGTATGCTTTAGGCTTGTTGTTTGATAAAAATGGGGCTGTGAAGCCACACTGACATGTTCCACGTATGACTGGTCGCTGCTCCCAACACAATGCTAGCTGGGAGTTGGTTGCGAAAAACGAGTGAATAGAAATCACTATGAAATCGTTAACCACCGAGTAGTATTTAGAGGTCCAGACTTCCTGGTTGAGTACCTCGCAAGTCCTAATTTACGGCAGGAAATCTAACATGGTGTAGAAGCACTGATATTCGTTCTCTATTTCTCCCCATACTTTCAGTTGAATATTACCTCTAGCCTTTCATTTTCCCTTTTTGGACTGTATTTCTTATATCTAGATCTCCATTGCAGGTGATAATATTCCTCTCTACGATTATTTGAAGTGACAGCTTGGATTGATTTGCATTGTATCAAACCGTATATTGTTGACGTTTGTCATGGAATCTATTGAGTTAATTGTTGAGGTCAAATTGTTCGCGAGGACCTTAACTGACTAATAATTATGAGTAATCCTAACCGTAAAAAGTGGTTTGCTATTCCTGCCCATGTACACAAACGTGGAAAACGACCCCCTGTAGCAGCTGGCAGACTGAATTGTCAGAGTATTCCCGTAAACGAAGATTGAGATGTATATTTTCATTACAGATCCTACTTTTATCCACTGTTGGAATGCTGTGAGGAATTTCATGTCTTAATACCAAAGAGCTGATGAGAACTTAAACTTGAGTAGGAACCTTTGTCACTACGCTGATACGTATAACGCTTATATACTCTCCCAAAATGTTAACAACCTCTACCCAACTCTCAACTAACCTGACGTCTTAGTTTTGTACGGTGAATGAGGCTTCCTGGGTTTAGAGTCAAATCTTCCTTCAGTCTATTCTTAATTTTACTGTTGCATATAGTTCGCATCTTTTCGTCACAACAATGTTTACTGGGTTTCTAATGACCTGTGAATCTGATAGCTATTTCATCAGTCGAGTAAGCTCAGTAAGTAATATTAATCTACTAAACATTAGATGGCCTGTAGATTCACTATGGGATAATAATCGAATTAGACCGACAATCATGAGGGATGAAACGGAATACTTTGATACAACAGTATGGTCACTTCTACTAACTCCTTAATTTGGGTTATCAGTTTTACTCAGCCTGGTAATCCTTAGACGTTTTCTGTTTACTTGCATAGTTTAGTTTAAAGGAAATGGATGCCAAACTCCTGAAAGACAAAGGTTTAGAAGAATGCTGATGGAGCGTGACAAATGTTCATTTGTATCTGGAACATTACTGACACCTGAAAAGAAACAGAAAACCAACCTTCGTGATAAGAATCCATTATTCCCGAATTTTAGTCAATAAAATTGGTACCATTTTCATGCATCCTGCTGTTAAAGGGTCACCTACACTTTATAATAGCAATAGTATACTAGTTTATTCTACAAAATTTCAAGGTAGCAGTTCACTATGAACCATCAAAAGAATAGATATTATCCGTAAGTAATCTGACCGACAGATAGTACTCATGAATATTCAACGGAGTGGTGAAATGAAATTACAGCATATTCACAAGAAACATAATGTTGATAAAAATGTATTAACAAGAGGAGGACTGAGGTATCTTTTAATACAAGAACAGTAAGTTTTCTCGCAAACTTATAATTGCACAAGCCACTTATGAATTGCAGAAGCATTATTTGTAGCAGAAATTTCAACGAAATCCACCGGTAAACGACTTTTTGCAAAAGTGAAGGTCACTCCCGGCTTTGTCAATGTTGATATGGTGGATTGATCGAGGCCAGCAAGCGCACCAGTACGTGTAAATGTAAGAGTATTCCTGAGTTTAAAAAATGTCACAAAAACATTCTATTAACAGAAAGTAGACAGTAAATGGTATAGATCTTCAAAGACAAAATGTAATACACATTGACATGTTACGGTTCATCAGTTTCACCAATGCCCTATAATGTTATATACTCTTTGGAAATAAGTTAGAAGTATGTGGTGTAGATATCTTACTTGGTCCACAGAATTTACGACCTGGTGCAAGTAAATGATATTTATTACTGTCCAATGACAAACAGGCTATCCCAACATTCAGTCAGTTGATAATCAACCTCCCCAAGTATGACATACGCTGTGTAAATAAATTAATCAAAACTGTTAGGAGTCTATTAATGATGAATCGTTGTATAAAGGTCCATACCTTTAGGCAGCTATCACTCTTGATGATGTAACCATTAACATTCAGTGGTGTCTATAGTGCTACATTTTACATCAAAGAGTGAACAGAAAAAGCAAGTGAAAGAAAACTATAGTTCTAAAATTTGTAAGGAACTAGTTGATACTATGCCGACTAGGCTCAAACTGGACGATTGTACCATGAATTAATTCATCATACAAATAGACAAGGAAAGTTTAGGACTTTAATATGAGTAAGACTTGCCTAGACAAATTAAATGAAGCTTTATATGAATAAACTGTCGAACTACGTTTCATTGGCGACAAGTGAAACTCAGCACGTGATTTTCTACCATCTTTATCACCACTTTCTAGACCTCAAAATTTGCAATACCAACAGAAATGCCATTATGTAGGTAGTGGACAAATGACATATAAAAAAAAGTCAGACGATAAGGTTTGCGAGATATATCGAACAACTTTGAATGCAACTCAAGAGAGGCTTAGGCTTGATGCCAGATATTTTTAACCTTTTTCCGGGCGAGGAAGTTTTTGTTGACAAATTATATGAAATAATCTACCTAAAAAGGTCCTATCAGTTAGTGGTATGTTGTTCTGCAGACTAGTACCACGCAGACCAAATAATTGTCCTCCATGGATAACTAACCAAGTCAAGAAACTTCTTAGACGTAGGAAAAGCATTGGAATATGTTTACATCTACTGGCTTAGAACAGTATAGATCCAGTTATTGTAAGATTAGGAATGCTTGTAAAGCGTTAGTAAGACCAGACGGTCATATGAAAAACATTTGTTTAAGGATTGTGAAAATAATCCGAAAATATTATCGTCGTACAGAAAGAGGTGAACACGGATAAGTGATGGATTCCTACCACTTTTGGTACCAAAACAATCAGTCGACATTGGCGAGATGGTGCCGAAAAAGCTAAAGATTTATCGGAATATTTTAGCAAGATGCTTTTACCGATAACGAGAAACGACCAATAATTGATCGTGATCAGGGCGGCTTGTTGATGCACCCTGTAGTTATTGAGAAACATACTGTCTTAAGACTACTTCAGCGTCTCAAACCTGATAAGTCCAGTGGCCCTGATGATATTCACTCTAGGATTATGAAAGCCCTATCAGATGGAATTGCTGAACCTAAGGCCATAATGTTTGATATTTCTCTGAGACATTCAGACTGCCAAGAGACTGAAAGAACGAAATAATTAGTCCAGTGTATAAGGCGGGGAGTAGAGACTTATTTAGTAACTATCGACCCATTAGTTTAAGCAGTGCAGTTGTAAAACTAATGGAAAAGATTATTCGGATGGTTGTTATAAACTATGTGGAAGGGCATAATCTTTTACCCAGGGAACAACATGGTTTTAGGGAAGGCCCATTATTTTCGACAAATCTGCTTATTACAAAGGAAGACTGGACTGAAGCAAAAGATCAAAATATTCCTGTTTTATTTATTTATTTATTTGAACACATAAATATTGGTACAAGAGAGCGCCAATATATAT